TAACATTAACTAAGACTAATAAATTCTTTAGAAGTATTTTTCATTGTTTATGTTAACTACTAACGGATGGAACCTTTTTGTAAAGTGTCATTAAAATATCTGAGAAGTTAAACATAAATGAGACTTTCATTAAGACTCCTGAGTTATGAAAGAGCAACATCTGAGCACTAGAGTTTTTCTGCTTTCCGCTTAACACCTCGTCTGAGCATCGCACCACCCACCTCACTATGGCTTTCCTCCAGTGTCCGTTCAGTAATAGGCGTCGATAATTAGACGGAAACTGTGTGGCTGTTTGACCCGTGCTAATTAGAAAGTTTGCAGACTTGGCAGCGGAATTCATCGGCAGGATAATGAATCATAAAACGGTTCATTACAGGCGGGCAAGGAAACGTTCTCAGTCTCAATAAATGGCCAAGGAGGCCTGGCAGAGCTGCCAAAGCTGGACTCACACACACGCCGGCCCATTTACTGCATGAAGAGTGACACACACACACACAAAACATTTTCAATCAGAGCCACTGCTGTTAGCGGAAAGTTATTGCTTTGGTCTCGTTCTGTGTCTCAGACGTCCGCTTACATCAGCGCTACACAATACGGCCGCTAAAGCCTGACTGAGTCCTCACTCGAGCTGCGTGTGGATAATGAGAGCTGTGGAGAGTTTCTGATGGGACACAACCCTGTTTGTGACAAAGAAAAACACAGCGTTTGTGGTTTCTTTGTGATTTATTAGTAGGGTATGGAACGTTCAAAATAAATGTCCATCATGGCTGAAGAGCGTTGTGCACGATGCGAAGCAGAGTCACTGCAACCCCTTCAAGCTGTGACTTATTCACAATACAGCACGCCTCGAGTACCTTATTGCTTTTATACAACGTCTCATCTGCTGTGTCATTTATTTTTTAAACACCATATATGATATTTTTTTCACACACATACATCTGCTTATCTCTCAGCATGAGAAAACATCTGTTTTCTGTCTTTAAAAAAAGACTGAATCGCAGCACAGCGCGAGTTTGCAAGAGTATAGTGTAAATTCATGTAAATACAGAATCATACCTGAAACAGAAAACTAATAAATACAGTAATATTCCCTCCTCACGGAAACTGTGGGTTTCCATGCAAACGTGTCTCCCGCATGAGAAGAGTCAAAATGAAAGGTGAATGATGCAACATAACGCCAGCAGGGGTCACTCATACTTCATTAAATAAATAACAAACAGCTAATTTTGCTAAAATACATAATACATGCAATAGTTTTGACACTACTGTATATTGATAGTTTATGTCGCCAAGGATGGTTGCTAAGGGCAGTGATACACAGAAGCGTTGAGTGAAGCAGTCGTAGCCGTGCTTTATCGTGAATAAAACACAGCTGTTGACCAATCAGAATCAAGGACTGGAACTAACCGTTTTATGAGGAAAAACAACACTCTTACTATTGTTTACATGTATATTAAAATGAATGTAAAACTCAACAGATATGAATTATTCCTAGTACAATACTAACTAACTTTGAATAGGTCCGTTTAAATAGGTCCTATTATGCACTTTCATAAAGTCTTGGGGTGTACCAGAATAGGTTTTCATATTTGACTGTTCCAAAAACGCATTATTTTTCACATATTTCACACTACTGCAGAACCAGTCTCTCACAAACACTCTTGTTTAGTTCCTGTTGCGATGAAACGCCTCCTTCTGAAATACGAAATGTGCTCTGTATGGTTAGCCGGCCCAGTGCCCAATTCAGACCCTGAGAATGTTTACGAACAAGAGGATCGTGCAGAACCTTTGCAAAAATCAGTCACTTATGAGGATCCATCTCTATCCAACCCAGTAAGACCAGGATCATCCAATAATAAAGTAAACAGGGACAATTTTGGATTTGATTTTGGTTTTATAAAAGCAATAAGCCACTTACAGTGATTTTACCATGGTTAAGGGGTGTTAGGCATGAAGAGAATCAAGCAGGGTTTAAATTGGTCCTTTTTCAGATGAATTTACTTTGCGGGACTATCTACAAGCTCCACTCGCCATTTCCCGTTTATCTAGATGTGTTCATCCGCTGAACTCCTGACCCTCCAAGTGTCCGGTCAGGACATCTCCGTTGCCATGGTGATGTTTAATCCCTGTTGCCAGTCATGGTGATTTTTTTACCGGGCCGCTAATGCTGCTTTTCCTCCTCATCCTCCACTGTCCTCTAAGCTAAATTAGTAGCGCAGAGAGGTGGAGAGGTTATCGCTCATGTCTTTATTGAACTACAACTCCCTTGAGCCCACAGTCACACCACGTCACAGCGGACAGTCAAGACCTCACAAAAGTTTATTGATTAAAATAGTGTATTTCCAAAGTAAAAAAATTAAATACAGAATTCACAGTAGCAAGACTTGCTATTGTATAAATACATAATTCAAGAAAAGAAGAAATACTTGTTTACAATTTGTTTATATTTTCAGTTTAATTTTGGTTAAAGTTCTAGTAATTTTGTTGTGTTTTCATCATTTATTAATCATTTTTTTAATCTATGTGCATGTGTGTGTATGTAAAGTTTTAGTTTGTAGTTTTCAGATTGAGTTTATTTAGTTTCTTATATTAGTTTTTTTAGTACTTCAACTTAAACTAAATGAAAAATGTTGCCTTGGCAAATAGCTGAAATAAATGACTTTTGTTTAATATATATATAATCTTATTTGATATTGTATTTTATTTTATTTCAGTAAATGTTTAATTTATTTCAAGTAATGATTTTTTAAATGTTTGTATTTCACATTTAGTTTTAGTTCACAATAACAATAACCCCATATACACACATCGAAATTGAAAAACAAAATATATATATTTGAATTCTTTTAAATTCATGCTCCTGGTCCAAATGTACCCCTAATAAAAAATAACATATAATAAAATAAAATAAAATAAAATAACAAAATGGAATAGAATCAAATAAAAAATAAATGTACAGTATGTGTGTAAACCACTAGGCCACGGATCCAATGTTTTTTACTTCTATTTATGCAATAATTACAATTACAATTACAATTGCAATAAAAACAGTCATCTAGAACACAGATGAAATATACAGTATGTTGTTCACAGTTTACATATCCATCTCAAATAACCTGTGTTATTTTTCTCAGTCAGAGAAACATCCGTGTTATGCATCAAAGAGACTCCCAGAGACCCTCTATAGAGTGACATGTGATGGGTATGTATCAGAGCAGAGCAAAGGTAGCAGCGTCCAAATGTTTGATCACACTCTGCCAGCATCCATCTTCCAACAATCATCCATTACCCATAAGCCCACAAACATCCACAGACACTCAGGACATTCTACAAACATCCGTCCTAGTCAACACACTAACAAATCACCGAGCGACGCAGAAACACTTTCTAAACACCAAAAGAGTGAACATTTTTCTCCTAAAGCTGTACTCTTAAAATCTAGTTTATATGCATGTGTAGTTTAAAATTGTCTGCCATTAGACCGTTCTGTGTGCCTTTAAGAACATGCACGTTGAATCTTGCTATCATTTCGAAGGACCGCTCAAGGGATTCCCAAGAGATTTTTATCAGAGGTACAATACTTCAGTTGTAAAATCCTCCACAGACATCAGACAGACAGATATCACATCATGCACACAAACCGCTCGGCTTAAAATGAGAGATGAAAATGCTTCAGTAACACTTTCCCACGAGGAAAGAGGTAAAACATGGTTCACATCCAAATAAATCCTACTAAACAGTACAGTAACACAGCCAGTGATCATTAGACACAGCTAATAAAAGAAAATGTATATAAGGAGTTGTATCTGATCTTTAAAAATGAAGTTGATTTATATTTAATTACAGTTCTGACTTAACCAAAACTAGTTCATTTAGATCAGAAGTTCTCAACGGGTGATTCACGACCCACTGGTCACAGGTTTGATTTGATAGAATAGGGAAAAAACAATGCAATGCAATTACTACTGTAAAATGCAACAAACAATGTTATCATGTATAATAAGCAAAATAGACTTATTAATCAGATCCTGTGTGGATGTTAAAGGGAGTGTGTCCAAACAAACTGCAAATGAATCCTTCACAAGTTAGTCGAAGTAGACAGATGTCAACATGGACAGGTTATGCGACTTGCTCTTATCCTCAAAAGCCATCAGTAAAAGTATGCAAGGTAAAATGTGATAGAATAACACAATACAAAATGCAAGACAACATAGAAATAGTAAATTTTCCCATTCAATTTAGCAAATTGTTGAGCCAATGCAGTCCAGTAATATTATCGATTTTAAGTACTTTCTTGTTCATTTTTGAGGAAAGAACAGTTTTCATACAGTAAAAACAGTAATATTGTGAAATATTATTACCATTTAAAATAACTGTTTTTTTATTTGAATATATTTTAAAATATAATTTAGGTTAAGGTGTCCTTGTTACAGTGTAATTATACATATAAGTACTGAGTAATATTAATTAACTACATGTACTTATTATATGGTTAGGTTTAAGATTTGGGTTTGGCTTACTGTAGGGTTACTTGCATGTAATTATGCATAATTAATTGTTATTATAATAGTAAGTACATGTAACATGTGTAACAAGGACACCTTAAAATAAAGTGTTACCATAATTTATTCCTGTGATCAAAGCTGAATTTTCATCATCATTACTCCAGTCTTCAGTGTTACATGATCCTTCAGAAATCATTCAATGCTGATTTGCCACTCAAGAAACATTTCTGATTATTATCAATGCTGAACAGTTTGTTGCTTAATGTTTTTTTGTGGAACCCATGATGCACTTTTATTTTCAGATTATTTGATGAATAGGAAGTTCAAAAGAACTGCATTTATTTGAAACAGAAATATTTAGCAACACAATAAATGTCTTTACTGTCACTTGAATGCATCCTTGCTGAAAGAAGTATTAATTTCTTTAAAAAAAAAAAAAAGCTACTGTTGCCAAGCTTTTGAACAGTAGTGTATGTGTTTGTTGTCAGTACTCACAGCCTTTGTAGATGTCAGTAGGAATCTGTACGGCTGTATATGAGTAGTTGACTTTATTCTTGAAGTTGGGATCATCCACAAACTCCAAAGAAAGAGAGTTTGGATTTCCCAAGAGGTTTTCTACATCAACATCATCCGGCTGCAACAAGAAGAAGCAGAGAAACATCAGCATACACACACACACACACACACACACAACGAATGCATTGATTGACACACAGCAAACCAAAAAATCATTTAGACACACACACACACACACGCATCCATGATTAATTAGACAAACACTAATTACACTGACATGACAGGGGTAATCATGCCTCCACAACTCAAAGGTGGCGGCTCTTTGGAGGAAAAGCCGTAATACATCGCCAGTCTATTCATCCACAACACAATACAACAGCAGGTATCAAAGTGTTCGCAAATTGCAAAAAAAATCAATTAGCGTCGGCGATGGCTATCACATTCGCATTGAAGTCCTTCAGGCGATTAACCATGCCAATAAATCATCACAGTGATTGCCGAATGACGACCGCTCAACCCTCGACTTGAGTCCGCCACACAGGCAGCTAATTGGCATTTTAATGCATCTTGAATCAAAATTTGACTCAAAAAGTCTGGCTTTGAAAGAACTTCAGTGAGTGAAAGTATTAAGCCAGCAAAAAAATTAATAAAAAATGGCAGGATCACAGGATTTTAATGGTTTGCATTTATTAAATACCTCATTCTTGTATGCTAAGCATAAGAATTCAGTCTATGCATAAACTGCATGATAATTGCATTTAGTTGGAATGCTGCCACTTCCATACTATTTTTTCACAATGCATACTATGTACAATGCCGGACAGAAGTTTGGAATAATTCTGATTTTTTTATGTTTTGAAAGAAGTCTCTTCTGCTCACCAAGGTTGCATTTATTTGATCAAAAACACAGTAAAAAGTGTAATATTGTAAAATATTATAACCTAAAATAAATGTTTTCTATTTTAAAAAGTAAGTTATTCCTGTAATGCAAAGTTGAATTTTCAGCATCATTACTCCAGTCTTCAGTGTCACATGATCCTTCAGAAATCATTCTTAAAAAAAAAACTACATTTGCAAAAATGTGCAAGATACAACCAGTATCCCACAATGCAATGCGCTCAACTTGATAATTTTCAGTGAGATAAACAAACCTGAAATGATAATCATGATTCATATCCCTTTCATTGTTTCAAGCACAAGACAATTTTACACAAAATTGGATTAAACATGCAAAATAATTAAGAATATGGCAAATTTTGTCATCTTTAATCTTCAGTCTGACCTTTTCTTCAATAATCATTATTCAATAATTTTCCACTCACTGTGGTTCATTAATCTTTCTCTTTGTCTTTGATTCTTCATCTCACAATCAAACACCCTTGCCTTCATGGCAGGGTGAAGTGTGGTGTAGAGTAATAGAGTGGCAGGAGTTAATTGGGGTTGACATAGCAAACACGGATTGTTTTTTTTTGTTTTGTTTTTTCCTCAAAATTAAATTCAAGCCTCCTGCCAAGTGTGAGGGCTGATTTATGGCCTGCCTTTAATTTTCTATTAAAATGCAATTATAAACTGTTGTTGAGCCGAACATGGAGACGGTGGTTTTCCTATACCCCTCAATGTGACATGAACACGCAGACACACATATAGAACGCAAATAACCTCTTGGAAATGGGAAAACCTTTTGGGATTTCTTTCGGTTTTCCTTGCAAATAATTTGAAATGACACGGTGCATTGACTTTACTCTTGACTAGCTCATATCTGACTCTAGGTAATAATGTTTTGGCTCCAGTTTCATACATGATTCGAAGCATTAATAATCAGAAATCTTTAGTAGGTAATGTTTAAAGACGAAACCCGGACCTGGATCAGCTAACCTGAACTAACAGGATTAACCACTTATTTAAAAAGTAGTTTTCAAATATTGATACTTATCTTCAGGCCATCCAAAATATAGACGAGTTTGTTTCTTCATCAGAACAGATTTGGAGAAATTTTGCATCACATCAATTGCTCACCAGTGGATCCTCTGCAGTGAATGGGTGCCGTCAGAATGAGAGTCCAAACAGCTGATAAAAGCATCACAATAATCCACAAGTAACTCACACCACTCCAGTCCATCAGTTAACATCTTGTGAAGTGAAAAGCCACATGTTTGTAAGAAACAAATCCATCATTAAGGTGGTTTAATAGTGCGCATGCGCGAGCGTGCAGCAGCTTGTTACAGTCGCTCTCCTTCTTTTCGTAATTTACTTATTATGTATCTCTCTTTCTTTTTAAATTTTTATGGTAATTAGTAATAAGCTTTTCCCTCTCTAATCATGCGATTTGAGAGAGTTTTTATATTAAGTTTTGCCATGGGACTTCTGTTTTTAACTCTCAGAGTGACCGGCGTGCAGCAACATGGTGCCGGCTCTTTTGTTTACACCAGCGATCAGCTGATCACATTGCAACCAGCCGGCATTTTTGATCCAACTTTGTATCGGACTTTAAACATCCCTGATGAGATACGAAGGAGGACAGTGAGAGGATGCAGAGGTGGAAGAAGAAAACGGCGAAGAGGAAAAGTCGAGCGGAGCAAAGCAGCGCACAAAGAGAAGGTGAGGAAATATAAGCCGTATCTCCCGTCTCTCATTATGGGCAATGTGAGGTCACTGGACAATAAGATGGATGAGCTGACAGCTTTAGTAAGAAGGGAGAACATCTTTCGCAAATGCAGTCTGATGTGTATTACGGAGACATGCTTACATGATGGCATACCCGATTCCAGCATTAATATAAACGGCTTCAGTGCAGTGCGGGGAGACCGGAGAAGAGAGGAGTGCGGTAAGAGGAGAGGAGGAGGACTGGCTGTTTATATTAATAACATGTGGTGCCACCCGGGTCATGTAACTGTGAAAGAGCGGGTTTGCAGCCCTGATATTGAACTTTTGGCTGTGGGGCTTCGCCCATACTACATGCCTAGAGAGTTCTCTCACGCCATTTTAATCGCCGTCTACATTCCTCCATCCGCTAATGCTGCGGGCGCATGCGATCTCATATACTCAGTCACTGCCAAACTTCAGACTCACCACTCCGACGCCTTGTATCTCATCTCCGGTGACTTCAATCAAGCACTTACGAAAACACTTCCTACCTTCACTCAGTATGTGGATTGTTACACCAGAAGTGTCAAGACCCTAGACTTGATGTATTCAAATGTTAAAGGGGCCTACAGCTCTTCAGCCCTCCCTCCACTAGGCAGGTCAGATCACAACCTGATCCATCTCCTTCCAATATACAAACCCCTGGTTCAGAGGCAACCTGCTACTGTCAGGAAGGTGAGGAAATGGTCTGATGAAGCCAATGCTGCCCTGCAGGAGTGCTTTGAGTCTACTAACTGGGAGGTGCTCTGTGAGCCACAGGGTGAGGACATTGACCAACTGACTGACTTTTTATATTATTATTTACATGTGTTATATTGTTACTTATTTATTTTTTAATTTTATTGATGTATAGGTATATATTTATTTATTATTTTATTACTTTCTTTCTTACTTGAGAGCAATTGTAACATGGAAAGCAATTTCCCTTTGGGATTAATAAAGTTTTTTGAATCATTGAATCTTGAATCTTAACTTTAAACCATTGCTTCCAGCTAAAATACGAATCCATAATAACACTTCCTCCAGATAAAAAAGTAATCTCATCTGAATCAGGAGAGAAATATGCACAGATCAAGCTCCATTTACAAGCAAAAACAGTCTAAAATAGATCTAAACAAATATCTTGGTGGATTATGATGTGGAAGATCAACAGGAGATGGACTTTTTCACTGGAGGAAGCATAATTATGCATTATGGACTGGTATTTTGGCCAGAAGCAACAGTTTAAAGTTAAAATTCCCTAATGATGGATTTGTTTCTTACAAACATGCAGCTTTTCACTTCACAAGATGTTAACTGATGGACTGGAGTGGTGTGGATTACTTGTGGATTATTGTGATGTTTTTATCAGCTGTTTGGACTCTCATTCTGACGCCACCCATTCACTGCAGAGCATCCACTGGTGAGCAATTGATGTGATGCAAAAGTTCTCCAAATCTGTTCCAATTATGAAATAAACTCATCTACATCTAAGATGGCCTGAAGATGAGTACATTTTTAACAAATTTTAATTTTTGTGTAAACTATTCCTTTAAATACAGCAGCTGTGTTCAGAATACATTACTGGTGGGTAATGCTGTTTTTAAAATTAGTACATGAAATAGTATGCAATATGCAATAATAAATGTTGAAAACAGTAGTGTGCAACACTTGTCACATGACTTCACTATTTTGCATGATTAATCCGTAGTGGTGTAAAGTAATAGTCTGTGAAATAAACAAAGGTTAATATAAAATGGATTTCATATTTTCAATTCATTTTTGTGTAAAAAGAGAAATCTTGATAACACCATATTGAGCAACTATAGACCAATATCAAATCTTCCTTTTATAGGAAAGATTATTGAAAAGGTAGTCTTTAATCAGCTGAACAAATACTTAAACTCAAATGGATACCTGGACAATTTTCAATCTGGTTTTCGACCGCATCACAGCACAGAGACAGCACTCATTAAGATAATAAATGATATTCGCTTAAATTCTGAATCTGGCAAAATATCAGTGCTGGTACTACTAGATCTCTGTCTTAACTTTTGGCATTCGGATCAAACGATGAGTCAAGATGATGTTATAAATGGTGGCTGATATTACTTACGGTTCTTTAGTCACACTGGGAATGGAAGGTCAAGTGAAGGACACTGCATTGAGGGATACAGTATTCAGTAGTTTTGCACTGCATATTCTGGCAAATGCAGAAGGTCATGTTGCATTTTCATGGCATTCATACTGCATACTGCAGAAATAGTAATATGCTAGCATGCTCTTCTGAACAAAGCCAATATGAAAATGACATTTTCAATACATTTGATTTAATTAAGGTGATATTTCAGAGTGCAACAGTATATACTGTAAAAAAAAAAAAAGCAAAGAAAAAGCAAAGAAGAAAAGATGCTAATATAAAAACAAACAGTGAATTTCTTTTCATATGTTATAAGCATAAACTTACGTAATTTTGTTGAAATTCTCATAAAACAA